TGTTTTTATAAAAATAACAAACTGGGATTCAGCCTATTTTGCAAAAACAAAATACAAATGGTCTCCCAAATAAACTGCCAACACTACTGAAGTTGTAGACGCAGGCGCGATTAAAATGTTGACAGCAAAAGAAGACTAAGGCATGAATTTGCCTGCTTGTTAACCTTAAACCTTGGTTTATACGAAATTTTGCATAGCGAATTCCATTTAGACTAGAATGATGTGTGATAAAGTTTGACGAAATCAGATTAAGATATAGCTCCCATATATATTTTCATCCGATTTTATGTAAATGATGCAAAAAATTACTATGTTTGTTCGATTTACACGAAGATTAAGATTTGTTGAAATTTTTTTTTTTTTTTTTTTTTTTTTTTTTTTGTTTTTTTACAGTTTTTCCTCCTAAAATTTCTTTAAAATATATTGCTTTACAGCGAGCAACGCCACCGAGTCGCAACACATTACAAAAAAATATATATCTACGGAAGCTAACGCTATGTTCAGCGCCTAGAAATTAGCACTTCACAATGACATTACAAATTGGCAACTAGTCACGAAGCTGAAACTGGAAAATAGCTCCACAAACGCAATTGCTAAAGAAGATTAGCAGCACGATTACTAGTGCTAAGCTGAGGGTTTCAGCCAAAAGAAACAAATATTTCGATAGATTTCATTTTAATATTTAATGTTTAATAACACAATATGTAACAGCAAAAAATAAATGTCGATTTCACAATGAATGTCACATTTATAGATTTTATCATTCGTGAGTTGACAACAAATCACCATGAAAACACACCCTTCGGCTGCCCAGCCGTCAGCAACGAAAATTGGCGTTGGAGCTATTTGAGGCTTTCGCTATTTTTGTCTGCTGATTTTTTAACTACATTGCCGCTTAGTCCTAATCAAAAATCGCTAGCACATCACATACGAGCCTAATCTAAATATCTGATCATTTGCAACTTTAGCCATTGACGCCAATGTTTAATATCAGTTGCTCTGTAGGGGTAATGCTAATGCCACCAGATGCTGGCTTTTAACCCCTGATGAAAACTGAAAGATGGCCACGAATAATTAGTTCTTTATAAAAAAAAGTTCGCTATATCCCCAGTTCTCAAGAAGGGTAAAAATGTATGTTAGGCTTACGGCAAATGAAGGACATGTTTTTATAACACTATAAGAAAAGAATTGACCTTTCTGAATAACACTCATATGTTGTTTTTTATGTTATATTTAGGTCTAACAATGGAGATGTGCATTGCTAAAGAGAAACCATAACAAACCAGACCATATCTAGTTTGTTCGTCGCTTGAAATCCACTTTGTTATTTGTAATAGATAAGAAATAAAGTGCAATACATACAATATGGATTCTTATATTTCGGATCATATTACTTACTTGTAATTCCTCTGTGGTTATTTGAATACTGGTGCTAGGTGTGGCTGCGGGGGCGCGTTGTTGAGCAGGTGGTATGTTCTGTGATAGAGGTTGTACCACGGCAGCATTTGAATTAATGGTAGAGTTAATTTGTAGCTGTGGCTTTGATTGTTCCTGCTCAAAGGGATTGTAGTCTTCTAATGAACTCTGAACATTGGTTGTTGTGCGGGTCGCCTGTTGTATGGCTGGATCCTGAAATACGTCACACCATTATAAACCTGAGCATTGTTCTCTGTGCCAAATAAGGCAACTGTGTTTCTTGCAATAAATTCATGCTCGGCGAGAAGAGATAAAGAAAAGTGAGTCAATAATACATACTTATACATGCATATATTGTACAAGTAAATTATATCTCTCTCACAACACACAGCATAAATGCTCCACTTCTTACCGCAAATGGGTTATCCAGATTTGGTTCGCCAAAAGGATTATCGTCGAATCCAGACATATTTCTTGTAGTAACTAAGAATTTACAAAGAAAATAGTATAAATACTTTCGTCGGTATTTTTCACTTTTGAGCTGTGTCACTGATAGTGCTGCGGGGTTTATGATTACTGAATTCTTTGTACCAAATTATAAAACTGGTATAACTAATTGTAGTTACTGCAGTGACGTAACGCATTGTTTTGTCTACGCGATGTTATGTTTAGTTTATATACATACAAGGTTTATTTAAAAGTTAACTGAATTCTTTGTTGACTGTCAACATTCATTGTGTTCGTTTCTCTTGACAGCAAAGGAAGACTAAAGAGTATGTTACACGAGCCATCAATATCGTATGTGCTGACAAATTTTTTGCACATTTTTTTATATATCGCCATCACAAATGCAAACGGACGTAACTACAGAAAAATTCGAAATTGACTTTTGTTTGATTATTGTTCGTCTAAACAAACTACATGTTCACACAGAAATTTAGACATTTAACGTCAAAAACAGCAATCTAATTAAAGAAATTCAAACGGACGTAACTACAATACCATGCTTTTATTAATGCAAACAGACGTAACTACACTCCTGTAAAAAACTAAAGCTCGCAATATTGAAGATAGGAATTCTGAACTTATATTAATGTTACTTCTATGATGTTTGATATTGAAAACGAGATATATCCGCCAATTTTTTACGGTAGCTCCCATAAAGCGGCACCACAAAATTCGGTATTTTAAGGCTTTTCTTCATTTTTTAACTGATCAGTTATAATTAGGTATTTTTGTTTCGCACTGGTTGGAAAAGTACCCTGTGCAAATTTCTATCGCTAGCGGAGAATTATTGAATGTCTTTAGTTCAACAATTACTTAAAATCGGTCGAAACTATATATCGGAGCTATATCGAAATCTGAACCTATTTTCACGAAACTTAACACACATTACTCTCTCTAGACTCAATTCAGTACGCTATGCAAAATTTCGTGCAAATCGAAAGAAATATTGGGGTTTTAATACACCATTTACCAAAATCGGACGAAAATATGTGTGGGAGCTATGTCTAAATCTGAACCGATTTCAACAAAACTCAAAACACTTCACTCCGGACTCAATTTGGTACGCTGAACAAATTTTAGTCTCAATCGCATAATTATTAGTCACTTTGTTGTATTGAAATTGTGTTGTAGTTATCTATAGTCTTTTGGTAGCGTATGACTCGGCTTAACGGCTTTCGGGATGAAGGCCACTGTTATCTCTTTCCATAGACTTGGTATATACGACAGAAGTAAACAAGCCCTAAAGATGTCCTGCAGAGATGATATTACTCGTTCATCTGCGTGTTGCAGCATGGCCGGTATTATACCATCTTTTGTTCCTATTGAATTGACTTTTATAGACATCCCAATCAGTACTGAGCTTTGTCTTACTACCTCTATTGTAAGCTTTCCTTGCAGCCTTCCTCAAGGTTGCAAGGTTAAGTGACCAACATACCGGCTGAGATTTTTCCCAGGGTATGTTAGGGGACAAGAAGCCTCATAGCTCTTCAGAAGAGTAGCCTTAACATTATTCACAGCTAATTCAACATCCTCAACTGTTTTAAGATCCTAATGATCCTGGATCGAGGCTGCTGTTTTAGCTTTAAATTTGTCCCAGTTTTTCTTCCGAGGATTCTTATAAAGTTTCTGTTTTCCTCTGGAGGTAGGAATCTGGAAGGATATAAGTCTATGATCCGAAAAGGAGCATTTCTCAGATACCCCCCAGTTCATGACCCCAGAGTCGTCCATATTTGTGAGGGTTATGTCGATGACTTCACCTCTCACCCTATTTACAAATGTTGGTGTGTTGCCCCTATTACAAATCCTAAGATTATAGCTAAGTATAAACTCAAAAATGGACTCACCTCTTGTGTTAGTGTTACTGCTTCCCCAGTGGAAGTGATGTGCGTTGGCGTCACATCCGATGATGATATCACCAACTTTGTCCATCTCCTCCATTATGCGGCATACTACCATACCGGGAGGGTCATGAGCCTCGTAGGGGAGATGGACGACAGAGACTATCAGGGGCTTCGAGATACCCCTATTCAGTCTTGCTGTCATGTCTCCATTGCTGAAATTAGATAGAAGCATTAAATTTAGCAAGAATACACGTTCTTACCTTCTCTCCATTGGAGGCGGACAAAACACTGTATTTTTTATCGCCCATGCCAGTCACCTTACCTTTTTACAGGTAAGGTTCCTGGATGAGCGCGACGTCGGTATTTGAGGAAGAGAGGGTGAGGAGCAGTTCAGCAGCTGCTGCTCTACAGTGATGCAGATTGATCTGCACCACGTTCAGCGCTTGCTGCATTCCGCTTATTGTTCCATAACAATAAGCATTCCATAACAAAGTTTACCCTTATTCCTCCTCAAATATTGCTCTCCCGCAGAATCCGTAGCGAACTTCGCGACGACACCGCCGTCCCTTTCAAATGAGGCGAGGATTCTCCACCTCTTCATCTGAAGGCCGTCGTTCTGCTTCTCCAATAAACTTAGTGTATTCTCCAGTCCCTTAAAAGGTGGTGGGATAAACACTGAAGTTACCATACCGCTTGGTATTGGCCTTCCTAAAGAGGGTTCACGTTGTTAATTTTCTTCTTAAGGAATTCCGAAGTCTCCTTAGTGCGACAATTAACAACCTTGACCACTGTGTATGAGGAGGTCAGGCCAAACCGTAGGCTCTGTCGATCAAACTCGTCGGATAGGAAGAGGTCCTTCAGATAACTGTCGACCAGCAACCATTTATCCTCGCTGATAAACCCGTCGGGGTCAGCTCGGTTCGGAATCTCTCGGACCGCTACAGCTGCCAGACTGCTGCCTTCCCAAAGAGGGTCCAGGTTGTTAATTGTCTTCTTAAGGAATTCCGAAGTCTCCTTAGTGCGACAATCAACAACCTTGACCCCTTTGTATGAGGAGGTCGGGCCAAACCGTAGGCTCTGTCGATCAACCTCGTCGGATAGGAAGGGGTCCTTCAGATGACTGTCGACCAGCAACCATTTATGCTCGCTGATAAACCCGTCAGGGTCAGTTCAATCGATGGTCGCTACTCGCAGATCTTCCGGAACCTCTTTTGGATCAGCAGAATCGCTTTGCATCGTTGTAGGTGTCTGGGCTACCTGCTTCGAGACAGCGTGTTTGGCTTTCACCACACAATCACCGCTCTTGGCAGGTTTCTCCTTCGACGCTACAAACGAAACAGAGCTTTGTACAGCCGACGACTGCGTGGGTCTCTTTGCAGCAGGTTGTTTTTCCTCCGAGGATCTCATTCTCTTGACAGCCGTGGGCTGTGGCCGAGATTTGGCACCAGTGGTTGCCAAATCTAGGGGCGCCATTCTCGCCTCTTCGGCCCAGGGATTATAGGCACTCGGTCATTTCCTCCGAGACTCTTGCCCATCAGTAAATAAATGAATTTTGGAATATAGGGTAAACGCACCTCATTCCGGCATGTACCAATAGTCGGCATATGTTTTATAGAACTTCGAATAACTAAAAAATCCTATAACTAAATTTGAAAAATTCCTTGAATAATCTTTGATAACACTGCAAACTATCTCTGTATAAAATTTAATCGAGCTAAGTACATTTTTTCAGTCAAAATTTGACATTTGGTCAATGAGTTTTGTCAACACTAGCGATAATTCATGTTTCTTAAGAAAAAAATTAGTGGACATGTCGATTTTAAGACTATAGGTGAGTCTGGTTACTTTTCCAGTAACATTTATTCAGTAAGTTTTAGTTCAGAGAGTAAGCCTTTTTTACTCTCTTTTGCGATAACATTTAGTAAGATTTAGCAAGATGCACCAAAATAAACAACCAAACAAAGGCCGGTTCTATGCACCGGATTGACTCGGAGGAATCAACTTCCGACCAAGGGCTGTCAACCCAGCAAATACAACGTGTATTTTTTCAACTTAGGAGCATCATTACCCGGAATGTTTGCTCCGGATTCTTTTGGTTCGTGCCGGGAATAAGACAAACCCCAGACCATGGTTCTGCTCAGTTTGTCACAACAGCATCCACCACAGATCTATCTCGGTGAGATGCAACGGATGCAGAGAATGGGTACATTTCAGGAGTTGTTCCCGCCTTAGCCGGGTACAGGAGTATAGTGAAAGGGACTGCGTTGCTTCTTGCTGCGCCAATGCAGTCCCCAGCAAGTTGTCGTCATCACCGTGGTCCACCTCATCATCTTCGGATTACGTGACTCCCCGCAATCTCCGCAGCAGCAACCTGCGCCGCAGCCGCTAACACCGCATATTGCTGTCGCAACTCCTGATAACGTATCCTTTCTTCAATTCAACTGCGATGGACTTCGAGGGAAAATCAACGAGATAGTGGATTTTATGAGTCGAAGAAGTATTATTGTCGCTGCGATCCAAGAATCGAAGCTGAACAACACCTGCAGTCTTCAGAGTTGTGATGGATACAACGTGATTAGAAGGATCGTACAAGAGGTGGAGGATTAGCATTCCTATTGCACCATTCTTTCCAGTACAGACCTATCTCGCTTGAGCTAGACTCTAGTGACCCATACATGGAAAGTATGGGGGGTAGCGGTCAAATGTGTTACCGCCGAGGTAGAGGTGCTTAACGTTTATATTCCGCCGTTAAATAGCAGTGCCCCGCGTTATTTGCCTGACATTAGTCATCTTTTGGAAGGCAATAACCGTCTGGTGCTAGGGGATTTCAATGCACATCATGAGTTATGGCATTCCGTCCTAGGTAATGACCAGAGGGACATGGCGCTGGCCGAGCAAATCGATTTTATAACTTCTGAACGCCGTACTTTCCTTAATCATGGGAAAGCCAATTGGTAAGAGTTCAGAAATTTCACCAATCGTCGCTTCAGAGAACTGCCCATCTCTTCTGATGCTCGGGAAGCAGAAATGAATTTGCGGGACATCATCAATGCTGCAGCCGCTCGCTATATACCTGCGGGTCGTATACCCGAACTAAGACCTAACTACCCAGCAGAGGCAGCGGGACTAGCGA